GATTTGATGAGGTAAAATTCACATATATAGGCCTATATGTTCTCAAGAGCATGTGAATTGTTTTATGTGAACTTCTTTCATATTGAGAGCAGCAGAGACTGGAGACTTGGTCTCAGACTAGCTGGAAATGGTTTCCAGACCTCCCCACAGATGGTGAGCCTCAGTTTCCTCATTGGCAAAAAGAGAACAGTGCCTGCCCAACGACTCAACAAATCAGTATATGTAATACAGACCAGTGCTTGCCACTTGATAAACCCAGTCTAATTACCAGGTTTGGAGGCTCCTCTGAAAGCTGTACAGAATGACAGAATCTGCCATTTGGAAGTTGTTACTGTGGAGATAGCATTGGCAAGGTTACAGCTAATTAGGGGAAGCAGTTCATTTCAGCACAGCGTGAGTCAAGGAAACAAGACTAGGCTGCTGCAACAATCTAGCAAGAAATGAAGAACCCTGAAGAGGTGATGGAACCCCAAGAAATGGAAATTGTTGGGGTGGTAGAGACCTTGACGAACAATGGGCCATTGAAGAAAGCATTCACAATGGATTCCCAGGGTGTCACTGCCTAAAACAAGAGAGAAAAACTGAATACCCAAACCTGAAGCATCTGTATAATCAGAGAATTACTCCCCCTTGAGAAAGTAATACATTCAGAAAAAGAATTCGGCTGCATGGAGAACAGCAGAAACCAAGGAATGGACAGGACAGGTTAGATTGGCTTTTAATCTTTCTCAGAGACTGAGCTCTCCAAACTGGCATAGACGAGGTGTCTAAGGCAGTGCTGAGCATTAAAGAGAGACTGGAGGAAAGATTTCAGTGTTGCAGTTAACGGCGGTTTGATGCAGATGGCTAATGTTTCAAAGGCAGAACCATTTTCTCCTTGATTTGGGTGGAAACATGAACTCAAATCCCTGGTGCCACATTTCCCGTCACAGATTACAGAATTGCCAACACCGGGCCCTTCCTTTGGCTCCTGGGGACTTAATTTCCCTAGGGAGCTATTGTGATTATTCAACTTGAAGACCTTATAGGAAGAATCACAGTTATTTCTCTCTGGAGTCTTAGGAGAGCAAACAACATAGAAGTAAATAGTCACTAAGGAGGACAAGGAGAAATAAACAAAGGTTTAGCCAAGTATTGTCACTTCCTGTTAGAAAAGTCTGTTCAAAATTATAAATTCGAGTAGAGCAGTAACGATATGCTATCACTGCTTCTAATCATAATCTACACGGGGATGTGTACACTACATCAGGCCGGCTGCTCCCAACACCAGGGTGCATTTGACTGGACAGATTGTGTAAGACTGTTCCCAGAGCAAATATGCAAAACTAAAACTTCGAGGGAGGCCCAGTTTTGCCAAGTCCCAATGCGTGATCTTAGACATCCTGTTTTGGGGAATGTAGGTCAGTTCCTCTTATTTGACCTACTGTTCCAGTATTCTGTGCTCAAAGGGATTTAATGAAACTACTCTGAAAAACTGTTAAGCACTCCATACTTCACAAATACAGCATTAGCCTGGACAGGCTTACCAAGTCATAGAGATTCCTGGAGCATCCTAATGGTGAAAAACTGTGACCACGGTTCGATGCCTAGTACATGCTTTGCAAAAGATCTCTGAAATGCTCTAAATACTGCAACTCCAGTAAGACACCAAAATGTTTGTCTTTGCAGCAGTAGAGATAGAAACATGGTCTTGCACACACTGGACAAGTGTTTTCTCTCAGAGGTACACCCAAATATGTATTTTAGGGGTGTTGTTTTTGAAGATCTTTGAAACAATACCTAGTGATTCTTCTTCAACCTCCCAAGTTACAGGATTATAGGCATATACCACCTTGCCTGGGAGGTTGAGTTAGGAGGCATAATACCTCTGAGAAAACTGAGACTTAAAAACTTGACTATGGTTATGTGATAGTAAACCACAGCTCAGCCTTTAAACCCTAGTCTATGTTGCTTCAAAAATTGTTTCAGATCCAAATTCTATCCTGGAAAGAGCTCAAGGTGGCTCATGGAGGGGTGGAGGGGAAAGGACAACACACAGGGCAACTATTAGTAGCAGTGTCTAGAAACCAGCCCAGTGATTCTGTGTCCTCCGGGTAGGTGTGTCCCCTACAGTTCTCACTGTCCATTTAACAGAGACGACAAACCCACTGTAAGGGCCCTTAACCAAAAGCAGATTAACAGAACAGACATTTAAAAATGTATTGCAAAATGTACAGCATTTATTCACATACAGACAAAAAGGCACAAATTCTACTAAATAGTTCAACAAAAAAATACAGCTGTCTTCAACTAGTTTTATAAATACTTTCAAAAAGGGGGTAGAAATAAATACAGGATTGGGCCATGTAATATAAAATAGTCATCTCTACATATACTTTGTTTAACTTCTGATTTTAACTCTTCATGCACCTTTTTTTTTTTTTCAATTTTAGCTGAATGGACACCAAGCTAGGCACATAGTGAAAAATCCTCTGTACAAGGTTACAAATGTAATGACAAGTTTGTCCATTTTAAAATAATTCAGATTTGTACACAACACATAAAACCCTTCATTTAAATTTTGTGTTTATAACCTAACAAATAACATTCCAGGCAACTTTACAAAAGTTTAACTAGTCTACATTTTGACATAATACATTGATCATAATCAAAGATATTTCTTGGTCAGGATGCACAAGGAAGATTCAAAAGAACAAACAAACAAAAAAGCTCCATACTAATAGAATGCAAGTGGGTAGGTGGGCTGTCGCTGCGTATGGCCGCCTCATACAGAGTTCCCAGCATGACATGAAACTAACTTACAAAGCTATCGTTACACTGTCAGAAACCGTGCTCTATACCATTTGCATTTCAAAGCAGTAATAAAAAGTGTGGGCTTTTATTTTTTGTTTTGTTTTTGTGGGGGAAATTTTTTTTATTTTTTTATTTTGTTTTTTTTTTTTTTTTTTGGTTCAGCATAACTTGGAACATTTGAAAGCTTTTCAACCAAAATGTGGGGGGAAAACAGGTAAGGCATTATTTTTGCACAAAACTAGCATTCCTAATAGTGCAAATGGATCTGGTGCCTCTTAAACTGGTGAGAGGCTATATACTCACTAGATTAATTTAGGTTTTCTTTCTATGGCTTCACAAATTATTCCTCTATAAATTCTAGTTTCACCCAGTGCTGTTGCTGCAATCAAAAGATAACTAGATAGAGTCCAACCTTTTCCTGTATCCAGCAAAAGGGTTTTGTTCATATGCAAAACATCTCATTTTTAAATTAAGCTACAAGCGAAAGTACAACTTGGACTCCTAAGAACCTTCAAATACCGGTAACAAAAAGCTGATCTGGGCAGCAGTTTCAAAAGGAGCTCCACAGCTCAAAAATAGTCAATCTAAAACCTGGGTCATCCTTTCCCCGCCCCTGAATTAACTACTACAATGTACTTGAGAAGTTAAGACTTGGTTTGAAAATGTCGTACATACAATGGGATGCATCAGATCTGTCATTTGATCATCTGATAAAACTTGCATAGCAAGATGGAATTCAATAAGCCTTTTCTGTTGTTGACAATCATCTGGAAGACTTGAAAGCTTCTACAAACTCAAAGCATTGCTCATTAAATATCAGAATGTCCCTGCCACATGGAAACAGATGTATAAATGAATGAGAATCCAAACACTGATATTAACAAACTAAGGGTAATTTAGGGGAAACTGGGCTTATTCGAAATACCCTTAAATCTAAATCTCATTGCTATTTCCTTCTCTTAAATTTGATTCACAACTACACTGAATGCCAAAGAAAATAACAGGACTTGAACACTATCCACTTGTCTGAATACATACGCACTACGTGAGTGCAAAAACAGAACATTGTACTCAAATTTAATGGTAAATTATTGCTGATAATTTACTAGTTATTGCCATTTGCAATTCGAAAGTCCAAGTTACAAATCAGAGTTTAGAACTCCAACTCCAAAAAATCTATTCAAGGGTACACTGACTTCTTTCCTGTATAGCCTTGGTCAATAGAAGAGCTTGACGCAACATATTGCCTTTCTATTGTTTTAAAATATAACCTGTTTTACCTTTTTCTTTTTTCTTTTTTTTTTTTTTTCTTCTTTCTTGCTTAAGGAATCCGTTCATGGTGGAAGCCTGGATTCCCCAAATACGCATTAGTGGTCGACTCTGGGGAGTGAGTCACCAGAGTCTGAAGTTCATCACTTGAACTTGAATAGTCATTGTGTTATTGGAAGCCAGGTGGTCAAGTACTGGCAGTAGCCAGGGAAATCCCAATTGGGTCCGAGGACCAGCAGTTAGGAAAGAGGAAGGTAAAGAGGACTAGTAACACTTGGGCCTCGGCTGCCCTTTCTCACAGAACTTTCTCCACCAGGTTCATCCTCTCCACCCACACCGTATGTCCACAGCCCACTCGGGGCCGCAGGACCTGCTACACAGGCCCAGAATTTCACTTGAGCAGCTCTGCTCTGTCCCTCCAGCCTTCCACCAATGCCTGTTGTGTAAACTCTTCCCCTGGACGCCATGTGTGCAAGATCCCAGTGTTGCTGAAGCTCCCGAGTCCCAGCTACTCACACCAACAGCCTGGGAGCCAAAATGCTGTCAGCATTTACCATTCCTAGAAAATAAGCTTTGTGGGCTATAAATAGTATGTGAAGGCTTCTATAAATAGGATTTATTCATAACAGAATTCTATCTGATTCTGTACTCAGAGTATCCAAGAGTTTGTGCTTTGGAAAAAACGTAGAGGGCAGTAATGCACGGTGCCTTTCAAGCCTGGCCCTCTCTAGAGTTACCTCATTTTTAGTGTTTAGTTCAGGTTCTAATCTTAGTGTCTTGTGGTTACAACCTACTGTTTCCTCAACAAGTTGCAAATAACACAAACTTCTCACAACAAATGATTTATAAATGACTCTGGAAAAAAATTCAATCTGAATTGCAAGGAAATATGTTTGTGTGGCTCAGAAATAATGGGTTTTTGCTTGCCCCCATGTCAGAGCTCTCCTCAGCATGGCCAGCAACAAGCCACATGCTTCCACACCGTCCGTTTCATCAAGAGGCCAAGATGCTTCTCCTGATGATGTCTGTCCTCCTGCTGATGGTGCTGCTGGCATGGATACACTTCTTCTCCGATGCCTCACTCTCTGAGTCACTCATTTCCACATCAGGGACATACCCATCGTTCTCACTGTCGGTTCTTAACCTGTTCTTTGCCCTTTCTTTGCCTGGAACTCGGCCTAAACCCAGGTGGGGACAGTCTGAGTGCTGGTGGCAGGCCCCCCCATGGGCTTCTCCTTGCTGCTGCCGTTCCCCCTTCTTTGGAATCCGGAATCCTCCCCAGCTTTTCACTGGGCTGGCAGGTGTTGTAGGCACTTTGACTAGGGAGCCATTGCACTTGGGCACAATCTCCTTCCTCATGCCAGGTGCTGACTGCCCTATTCCAGGGGAGGTGGCAGCTCTTGTGTTGTCCAGATGCCTCTGGGATGTGTCTGTGGACCTGAGAGGCTTGTGACTCTGTTTAAAAGATTTGTCCTTTAAGTCTCCTTTAATGAGATCACAATGAAAACGATTGTCTCTTCTTTTCCCATGGTCTGGTGTCACCACACCGTTTTTCTGTTGTGCTGATGATATGAGACGTGCTTCTGCAAAAGTCTTTTCAATGCTCAGATAGCTTTCTGGGACCCCCAGCCCCTGCTTTCTACCACACAGATCTGGCTGCTTTAACAGGGTCTTGCCCTCACTCCCAGAACTATTCTTCAGAGGATCTCGCTTATGGGACTTTTTCAGCGAACGAACCAAGGAAGTACTACCCATTTGTTTCCTGAAGAATGCAGAATGCCACTTCAAGTCCTCTATCTTGGGAGCATTGGGGCCCACAGAAGGACTTTTGAACAAAAGCATCTTCTCCAGTGAGGAGGAGCAGGAAGAAGGCACACCTACAAACAGAAAACCACAAGGGAAAAATTACATAAGCAAAGCCAAAAGAATGAAGTTCTAGACCTGAAGCATCATTACACAAACTTCCCACCCAGTAGTCACCGGCCATTTTTGTTATAAAAAAAAAAAAAAAAAAAAAAAAAAAAAAAAGTGTTTTTAAAGCCATGACCTGATTCAAGAATCTGCTTTCAATCTAAGAGGTCAGTATACTACATTTTTTTTTCCAAAACCACTAAAACACAAATTTTCCTGAACTATCTGTTCAAGGACAAACAAAATTCAAAGAAGATGTGATTTTCAAAGGGGAATCCATTCAGAATCCTTCCAATGGCTGCCACTTCTACACAGCAGCAATTATACCATCTACCAGTCACTATCCATCACTTTCCTTTCTGAGACTAACTAGAGCTTTCAAGGTTCTTTCTCCAAAGGGCCATTGAGGACAAATACATGTAAATGTATAAACTGAATAAAAGGTAGGTGTTCACATAATTCTGGACATGTAATATGAAAAAAAAGTACAGTATATCCAAAATCTATTTGGGTTCAACTTGCCATCCAAGTTAAAGATTAGTTAGGCTTTTATGCAAATCACAAAACTTAAAGTTTCATAGCTTAACCTAGTAAAATCTTAGGAAATAATATCAATTCTCATCTCTTGATAGAAACTGACACTTCCTATTTTTTTAATTATTTTTGTTTATTTTTATTTTATGTGTATGGGTGTTTTGCCTGACTGTATGTCTGTGTACTACATGGGTACAGTGCCTGTGAAAGCCAGAAGGGGTGTCAGATCCTCTAGAACTGGAGTTTATTATAATAGACAGTTGGGGATTGTCATGTGGGTATTGGGAATCAAACCCAGATCCTCTGGAATGCTAGAGCAGCCAAGTACTCTTAACCACTGAGCCATCTCTCCAGCCTGACACTTGGTAATCTACTTCATACTTATTTTGTATGTTAGTCATGACCTACCAAATTTATCTCATACCCTCACACTCATTAACTCTGGTCTGAAAACTGCTGGTGAATTCATAAGGACCATGTTTTTGCAAGAGTATCAAGACCAGCTACAAAAAAGCAAATCTCACATTTTGTGTCTCCTGTTAAGACATGAACTACCAGGAGAATAAGAGCTGGCTCCAGTGTGTCAAGGAGCCCTCACAAGACCTTACTGTCCATCAGATGTAGGCACAAGCAACACAGCTGAGGTCCTTTTTACACGCTGTTGGCTTGGAAATAACTGCTTTCTCAAAAAACAATGGATAGCCACACGTGAGATAGGTTTTGTTTGTTTTTTTAACTGAAATACCCAACAGGAAACAGAAAGGTGAAGAGAGTCTAGTGTTGTCTGAATTTTAATTTCTATCTACTGGACTTGGAGCCCATCTCTCAAAAGTATCTAATGCTAGGCCTCCCATAAGCACCATTTCCACCAAAGATGCTCTCCTTCTGCAGAAGGACCCTACTTGTTCCCAGAATCACAACAGTTTGAGCCATGAATTCTAAAGAACACACGTAAAGTCATCTCCCTTGAAACTGTCTTAAGCATTGGAGTCTAGAAATGAGAAAGAAAAGCCACCCTAGAGGGCTTTAGCTGCATTTGCTATAGCCTCCCACAAAAAAGTAAGTCATTCCAACTGACCATACTTTCCACTCAACTCAAAATGAAGGAAAGATTGGTTTCTCTTTTCTGTACTTCTGTTTGTTGTTTTCTACAAACACGGTCTCATTCTGTAGCCTGGGCTGACCTAGAACTCACAATGTAGTCCAGAATGACTTAGAAATTTTGGCACTTCTCCTACCACAGCCCCCAGAATGCTTAGATAACAGGCATGACCCACCATGCTCAGCAGCAGCAGGAATTCTGGATGAATCTATACTACAGTTCTATAACTCAAAATACAACCTACCCTTGTGAAGAGAATTTCATCCACTCACCCAAGTACAAACCTCAGCTCTGATGCAAGAGGCTGCTTGTGATACCCATAAAAAATGACTCCTTTCAAGCCACACAGAAATCATCCTTTATGGGTAACCAATCACTGAATCCACCTCAAGTACCAAAAGCTTCAACTGGCAGAACTCTACAGGTACACTACATTAACCATCCCAGGTAACAGCAGCTTCCAATGGAAGGATGAAGAGAGAGAGTAGCCTTAAAAGATCTAAACTGCACTACTTTTACCTATGAAGCTACACTTTGAAAACCTTACATTTGAATTTTTACAGCTTAAGTTCAAGTTCCAGATAATGAAAGACACTTGATCTCTCTGGAAAATATTTAATCTTAGCAAGAACACATCTAAGTTAATGTTACTAAGAATATTATTGAAAATTCCCCTTGGTCTCAGAACCAAGTTATCTCTAGTCACATGTATCTAACTCTAAGGCAGAGTTTGGATTTCAGCAGTTTCGAACAACATGTGTTGTTTGTATTCCATAATTATCTATAGAAAAGACCACAAAATCAGAAAGGGAAGAGTGAATCGACCACGACTCAGCACACAACCAAGTGTCAAGTGTGCTGTTGCTGTGACTTTAAAGGGCAGTCCAAGGTGGAGTCATTCATCCTTTTCCATTGAAGGCCAGCCCAAAACTCACCAGCCCAAAACCCAAAAGACTCAGGTCTTTGTGTTGAGCAAGTTCCCAGGACAGACTTCCTCCATGAAACTCCTACATTTCTACTTCTTGGGGCTTGCCATCATAGAACCAACACTGGTGCTAAAAGCATACTTTAGAGGTCCTGATTCTACACCAGACTAATTAAAGAGCAAATGAATCCCAGAGTGAAACACTTGCCCAGCATTACACGTGGTCTCCAAGTAACTCAGCCACTCTCCAGCAGAGGAAGCATACACCCCACATTTATCTTCCTTTTTGGCTGGCCAGAACAATGTAAATAGAAGACACTAAATAAATGTCCGGCACACTCCGAATTACATTTATAGCTTCGGAAGTCCACCATAAGTGTTATGAAATGAGTTTATGTGGTGAGTAAAGAGTCTTACCATCTATTTACATGTTAGGTTGATCCAAAGGCTAGAGAATGCATGCCTTGGTAGCTGTCCCCATGTTTATCAAGAGCACTTCAATGTGCTCTCACTTTCATTATAATTTCCTGATACTTACAAGAGGTAGCTTGAAATAGCATCCCCACTTTACAAAAGAAAATTGGAGAGAGAAGTAAGGTTTACAACTTGCTTCTATTTGGTCAGCAGGGAGATGCTATAGGTCTCAAACCCTATTTAAGGCCAAATTCAGCTCTTTCCCTGTAACGTAATGCCTTTAATGTTTAAAGGTGTTCTTTAAATATGAACAGCTGTACTACTTAAACTTTCTACAGGACAGATGAAACAGCAACTGTTTTCCCTCAATAGCAGTGTTGAGGCTACAAACCCCTGCCCTACATTTTGCCCTTCTAGGGCTTATGCATACCTGAAACTCTTTCTTGCTCCAAGAGCTTAGTGTAAAGACTGAAAATCTGTTCCTGGACTTTGCACACAGATCGTTTAATCTTTTCCCTGCGGGTCACCATGTAAGTGAGGTTCCGAACCTAGAACGTAGAGAATAAAGATTCTAAGTGAGCAATACAGTAATGATACTTCAGTGCTTTCAGTTTTCCTTTACCTGAGACATACTGGCCCTGCTAGGGCCTCGACAGACATTTGAAATCAAAATGTGCTTTAAGCATTTGACCCTGCCACGAGGTGGGTTCTGTTTGTTTATTCCCTCGGTGTCTGCAGCAGCCACGGAGTAACCCTGAGGAGAACATAGAGTCCCAGTCCTCCCCACCAGTCTGCAGGATAGAGGAGACCTCCACTCTTTACTCAGGACTTGCTGCCTTATGCCCAAGAGCTCTGCTTACCATCCAACAGTGCCATCCCCACCATCTTACTGGATTTAGAGGAGTTCAGAAGCAACCTCCCCACACACAGCTTCCAGGCCACTGGCATAAGAGGAACCCCTTGCACAAGGCTCTCTGGAAGACCAGATGAGCTGCTTGGTCCACTGGATACAACTTTGCAAAGCCAGACCAGCAGTGCAGTGTATTTGAGAGGGGTATGCAAATGCCTGGGGACTGTCCTAGCATCCCCAACCAATCTATGAATCTATAGGTCATCAGCTTACAACTGCTACTAACCTCAGTCTAGTTCATTTGTAACTGAAAGAC